CTCTCTCTCTCTCTCTCTCTCTCTTCTCCTAAAAATCTTTCTTAATTACCACAGTTTGTAAATTCTGATTGAATCAATGAAAAATAATTAAAATTCCGCTTTGGAAAGTTACTCATTCCTTCGAGTTCAAGTTCTACAAAATTTGAAAGTATATTAGTAAGAAGAATACAGGGGAATCTCAAGCCTCAGATATACGAACTGATAATTAATCAGCGTTTGTTATTCTTATCTCTCGTTATCCGTCATTGAGTCATGGTGATCTAGATAACATCCGAATTTAATTTTAAATGAAATTCTATTTTATATAATTTTTGTAGCAAAACGCCATGCAATTTTATTACAATAAAAGTGCATTTTCTCGTTTTATAATTGTTTGCCTCATTTGAAAAATTCTCTCAATTGTTATTACATTTATCTATATTTAACAATTTCCTCGTAAAATGTCCCGTCGCGATATAAAATTGAATAACCACTCATAAGAATAAAATTATGCACAACTGAACATGAAAACTGTTAATGAAAGAATTTCTGAATTCTTTCTTCTCGTCGTATTAAACCTTTCACCTCTTTACGTCGATTCGACACCAAGGGAGAAATCAAATCGTTTGGAAGAACGAATGAGACGGCGGTTCTTCTGCCCGCGACGAGCTCGAGAAAAAGCTAACAGAAAAATACGGCATCACTCGAAAAACACGTTCTTTACGCACGTTCCGAGGCGGAAGTCGAGCAATTCCGGGCAAAAGGGCACGAACCCCGAAGAAATTGAATTACCCAGCATCTGACGTGTCCAACGTGTTTCGAGGTTCGAGATGGAATTTGCCGTTTGGCAAATCCCTCCTGGGACCGATAAGCAACGCATTACTGCCTCGTAGATTTCTCCATCGAGCGAATAATTACCAAGCAGCTAGGAAACGCGACGAGTAGACTGGCTGCAGTTTCTGGCTTTTGGGAAAGGGTCGTGCGAGTTTCACTGCGAGAGAAAGAGAGAAATGGGTCACCAGGGTGGTTTAAACATGCTCTTTATTCGCGAATGCAAAGTTAGGCTCCAAGTAATAGCTTCCTATTTGTATTCCACGCGAGCTGGCCCATTAGCCCGGGAAATTTAATCATCGCGATACCTCTATTGCAACGAACAGATGAGACTACGTCGATGTTCCGTCGAAGGGACATCGGTTCAGTGACTTTGTTCTGAAACTACATTCTTACGGTCTTTTCTCGCGTGATTTCCTCAACTCTGTTTTGAAACCAAAATGATTATTTAATTGACGTGAGATCGTCCAATAAAGATACTGCCTTCACAATTATTATATCAGTACTCGGATACTAAAAAGTTCGAAACTGTGTTACGAATTTCGTACATTTAGACTTCTTTTCAAGCTCGAAGCTTCTACTTTCGAAATGCATCGTCCATTTTATTTTAAGATATACTTTTGCAGTACAGGGACACACACCAAGTGCGATTTTTACAAATATTTTTATCACAAGTATAATTATCATTAGCGATATTTAAAATAAATTGAAGGGAAAATTAGAGAAGAGAGCTATATTTCCTGCGATTCTTGGCGAAGGATTGACCGATCGTTTTTGCTTTCAGAAGATGGGCTCTGTCCATGGCGAGGAATTGCCATTCGTGTTCGGGGCGCCATTGGTGGACGGTTTCGGTCACTTTCCCAGAAACTACACCAGATCTGAAGTGGCACTCTCCGAGAGCATCCTACAGTACTTCGCCAACTTTGTCAGAACTGGGTGAGTAGAGAACGATCTTGATCGATGGTTCGAGTAACCATTCTACTTATTGACCCTCCTTTTTTCTTTTCTTACGAACATCGAGCCGAGTGAACTGAAAGCGCTGCGCGCCTTCGTTACCGAGATTCTTCTATTTGAAAATCAGATAAGAAATTGTTACTGCAGGTAACAATTTTAATGAAAACTTACAGAGTCCGTAAGACTCTGCGGATAACAGAGAAGACTTTTTGCTCTTCGAGGAATATTGCTCAGAATTCGAGCCTCTGCTTCGGGATAATGACTCTTAAAGGATAAAATAAAAGGAAACGAATAAATCTGTCGATGGCGGTGGTAAATAATCGTTCTCTCGAGTCATGCACTTCGAACGACTAGACTGCGGATATTTGTACATTTATGAGAAGTTTCAGTGTATCAAAATACGCGAAAAGACTCGTATATGAAATGTCTCCTTGAAGCTGGGATTTATCGATTATCAATTATCAATTATATTAACATTGATGCAATTTCTTTCGATCGATTTATATTATCGATTTATATTATGGTTTTTAATATTACAGTTACGAAAGTTCTAAGGTTTCGTTTAATATATTTTTTTTTTCACTTGGATTTTATCAAATCTGGAAGAACATGATGTATTTATAATATTGATCAATTATTACTTGTTAGTCAATTGTTAGGAAAATTTATGTGAAAAATATCAAAATTTTATTTATTAATCGTCATAAATGATCAGAATGATTTCTATGATTTGCTGGAAACATGCATTTAGCATTTTAAAAAAGGTTAAAGACAATCTCCATTCTGTTTATTGTTAGACAATTTTTTAACATATGAATTAATCAAAAGTAATTGCAAATAAAAAAAAAACTTCGTTCCAGGAATTTTTGTATTTTAAAGTAAACAATTTGACATTTCACATGTAGCAATCTAATGTTACAAATAAAATACTCTTTATAACCTCTTCTTAGGTCGAGAATCTTTTATTCATGATCTTGAAAATATACAGTAAGAGGAGTATAATTGACGATAAAAAAAAGAAAAGTTCAAGCATCTCTCTGAAATTTTCTCTGTGAAAACTTTTATCACGACTAGATCTATTATGGTCTCGAGGATTGAAATTTTATCTTGATAAATTTGCTATACTTTATTCAACTTTAAACATTAGATTATGCAACGAAATTTTAGAATCTCTTGAATTTCTGTCATTTAAAACTCGTACAGCTAGATTCGGTGTATCGTTATAAAAAGAAAATTCCAATCTTTGAATTCCTGCTGATTCCAGTTCTGAAAGAAATGTTCCAATGCTTGAATTCTTACAACCTTCCGAGAATAAAGTACTTTCCCCACCTGTTACGTGGCGTGAAAACAACCTCGAAGAAAACTGGAAAAACTCACAGGATTGTCAAAGTAATAGCACCGCGCCTCGAAATAAACTCGAATAAATTGTTACGTAAATTTTCTCTTTAAGAAGTTATAAGACTTCTTAAAATATCGACAATCTTTCATCTATTTTCATTTATTCGGCTGTACTGCTCGCCACAAATCTGCATGAAGCATGCGCGATCGAATGGTGAAAAATCCGCGATACATTTTCCTCGGTCTCGCGCAAACATGATCGTTCTCTTCTTCAACGGTGGCAATTCAACGGTGATTGAATTTTGATCTGAGAACGGGGCCCGATGGCAAAACCAATCCTTTCTCCTTTTAAATCAACAGCAACGCGGCGGTGCCACTTGCGCGGGGAATCAATTTACGAACCGCGGCACGAACGTACAAAAAAGCGAGAAAAAGTGACAGAGAGATGCGGGATCGCGTCACCGAAAGGTCTGATTTTCCATATTCATGAGTTCGGCCGTGGGCCGAAGAGCAAAAAGAAGCGCGAGCACGCCGCGGCACGATGACAGAGAGGGAACAGACGGGGGCCGAGGGATTAGAGCGAAAATATTTTTCGAATACGATCGCAGCGGCGGCATTTTACGCTCGCGCCAGAATTTTTCTGATCGAGCCACGGATTGACGATATTCAAATTTACGGATTAACGAGGGAACAGAGGGAACACGGAGGGCGGGGCGCGGTTCACTCTTGATGCCAGGCCCGTGCCAGGCGTCATTCAAGCCTGTTATTTTCAGTCGCGAAATTAAATACAGAGAGTTTTAAAGCAACCAAGCCCCCTCTCCCCTTCATCTACGAAGATTTGTGAAAAATTCGAAAACGATATCCTTTTCTTTTCTTTCCTTTCCTTTCCTTTCCTTTTTTCTTTTTCTTTTTCTGCCTTTCGCTGGTGAACTGAAAACAATTTTATCCGATGTGACGAAATTAATCCTTAAATGTACAGCGTTGCGGAAGTTCATCGCTTTGAAAAAGATCGCGCGTTTGAGGGATAGCCTAAATTGCAAGTGAAGTGTTGAATACTGCAATATCTTTGAGATTAGTCAAAAGGATGCCTCTAGGCAAAACTTACGATGTGGTGGAGAATAACAACTACACTTTTAGTGTTTCGGACATTAGGTTGATGTACATGAAATATCGTTTTTTTTTTTTCTGAAATTCATTAAATTTCGTCCTACTGCCAATCACATAAATAAAATATAAAATATTGGAATATTCAATAAAAATATTCCAATCTCGTTAGCAATTCTCACGAATAATCAGAATTTTTTTTACATGACCTTAAATTTGGAAGCCAAGAAAGTTATTATTGCATTTGCATTTAGAGAAAGTGTCTGTAAATTGAATTTCGTAAACTATTTTAATAAAAACCGTGAGAGCTCTAATTTAGAAATATTTAGGTACTTTAAAACTTGACAACTGATTGAACAATGCTAGTTAGTCATAAATATGACTGAACGTGCAAAATTGATGATATATAATAACATTCTACAGAGCATATCATCTGATAAGAAATTTCACGTGCATCAATCTGATCATTCAGCAAATTTTAGAAACCTCCAGAGATTTTACTATAAATCACAAAATTTCCGACAATGTCAAAATCACAACGTATGTATGAGAATCTTGTTAAAGTTATTATCACATAAATATTGTTTACACATTTCGATGAAATAAAATTAAACGCATTAAGACACGCTTAAATATAGTAATTTATCTGCCAGTCTATCAATTAACTATCCTCTCTAATTCGGAGATTTAATTTATATTTAATGAAATTTTATTTGCACGAACAGATTCGAAAGATCAATTACAGCTGATTTTTCGTCAAAACATAAACATTAAGATGTGAGAATTTTACAATACAATACACGGAATTCTCGATCGTTCTATCAGATTTTTGTTGTCTCCTTCGATTTTCACAAATCACGAATAAATTTCACTAATAAATATTGAAACAACGAAATAAAGAAAACAGTGTAATAAATAACGTAAACGTAATAACTGATGAAATTGTATACGTATATATATATATATACATTAAAATTTTATGTTGCGCATCCGGTATTAAATAACGTTTTTAATTAAAAATAATTAATTCCAAGAATTAACGAAACACGCGCCCGACAATTAAAAATAATTATAATAAATGCAGGTATGTATTGAGAATAACTGCCGGAAAGGAATAAAAGAAAAACAATGGCTAAACACAACGAATACGTTACTCAGTGCGTAGATATCAACGAGCACGATAATTAACAACAACACAAAGCTAACAAATCCCGAATGAATTTTATCAATTACTACAACACTTGACAAATATTATTTTTATATTCTTATGAACGTGATTGAGAAGAAACAGAAAATTAATAGAAATTTCATCTATCGTACTTTATAGTAAATACTCTACGCTCGATATTTAATGTATTTTTACATGTAATATAAATCGACTGAATTTTTGCATAAAGAAAAAAAAAAAGGAGACAACAGTGTCTAGTCCATCAAAAATCATCGACATCGATTGTGATTAATCGAAAGAAAAGGAGCATCGAAATTCCCGGAGTTGCGATTAATTTCAATTCATTCGACGGGCCAATTTTCGAAAGAACTCCACGCCGCGATCGCAAATGGAAGTTTTTCCGACGCTAATTGGAGTTCCCCCGTGAAAACGAGTCTCTCGATAATTTTCTACGACGGCGTTTCGCCATCGAGTACATTTTTCTCGGCGCAAAATTGATACGAGATTAACAGGTACAAATGGACAAAGAGAAGTGCGATCATATCACGCGCCGTTGCCCATTCAGAAAGGGGGGAAAAGAAAGTACAAATGAAATATTCATGAGTGTAAACGCGAATTTACCCCCGTCGTCAAACATACGTTCACGCCTACCGAATATATATGTATGTATTTTCCCCTGTTTTCCTTCGCACGCCAAACGATCCACCCGGCTATAATTGTTATTTTTACCACACGGTTTTGCGGTTTGCACCATCGGACACCATTGATTTCATTTCATTGATTGATCTCGTCCCAGCGAGTTTTTAAATATTCGATTCGCCACGCTCGACCGGGTCTGTATTTTACGAAATTGAATCACGTTTTCGTCGGTCTATCTCTCTGACGCGAGACAGAGCCGATATTTTTTTCGTGGGCGTTGCCCCCGTTAATTAAAGCCCCCTCCCCTCCCCCTCCACCAGCCCCGTCCTGATCAACCGAAGCTTTTAAAAAATGAACGGTAATTTTTTATGACGGTGACCGACTTCCAGCGTCTGCTCTTGGTGGAGCTTTAAGGTTACGATAAAACATTAAACTGGAAGCTACCCCTCTCCGCCTCTCTCCTCCGAGTGCTTCCGCTTAATGAGTCCGCGTTAATATCCTCCCTTTTGTACCTTACATTCGTCGCAGGGAACTATGTCAATTTTCTGCTAAGCCATTCTTTCCACGAGTACCGGCTCGATCTATTTTCTTTTTTTCTTTTTCTCTCTTCCTTTTTCTTTTCTTTTTTTTTTTTTTTTTTTTTTTTTTTTCTTTTTGTCGCCAGCTCGAAGAAGCCCTCGCGACCCAAAGGAACGATTGTGCAATAACGATTTAAAACTTTCTCCACTTATCGAGTTATTTTTTTCCATTTCCACTTTCCATCCGGACAATTCGGGCGATTGTTAATTAATTAATTCCATTTTAACGCTCATTTTAATGTCGCTGTGAATCGATTATTAGATTAGGATCTTTGCGCTAGATACAGGGGATCTGCATGTGAAAACGGGCGAAAAGGGAAGAATAACATTTCTTTGTTGGAAAGCTCTGTTTTCGAGAAAATCGAATTTGACAAAATTCGCCGAGTGTACTTGAATTGGATTAATTCCGGACCGGGTAGGAGTAAATATTCGATAGGTGATTGCTCTGCGTGTGAAAATAAGTGAAAAAATAGAGTCTCTCCTCTTTCCGGCCGTTGTTTTCGCGAAAATAGCGTTTGAACGGTGTAAATAAAAAACGAATGTTCAAAATTAAAAATACAACTTCCATGTAAAAATTAAATCTTTATGAGAATGAGAATTTTCGTCGGATTGAATTTCAAGTGATAGACATATGTGAATGGACCGACGACTACAAATGTTAAAAATACGATGTGATACAAAAGATGGAAATTAGGATTAAAAGTACAGTTTAATACAAAAGCATTATTTTTTATGAAAATAGTTATTTTTGTCAGTACGTTACAACGTGATTGAGTTTTAAGTGATAGAGATAGATAAATGGACCGACTACTAGAGAAATTAAGAATATAACCTGATGCAGATAATTGTAATTGAGATTTGAAGAAAAAGCAAATTAAAAAAAACTTGATGAAAAAATGAAATTTTCGTAAAAATGGGAATTTTTGACGGTAGATTACAGTATGATTGAACTTTAAATGATAGATACATATAAACGGACAGACTGCCTGAAATTGGGATGTGAAAGAAGAAAAACAGAGAAAATAAAGTTTTTGGGGAAACCATAGTATGTATAAAATTACAGTATAAACTACGTACAAAAGTACTGCAAGTGATAGAGACATATGAATGATCCAACATGTTCGAGATAAAAGTAAAAATAAAAGAATTTATGTTCTAAATTAAAAATGATTAAAAAAAAACAATTCTTGTGAAAGCAAGAATTTCAAACAGTTATTTATGTTATAGTGCAATGTATAAAACTGAAACATGTTTAGTTAAAAACTGACATGATACAAATACATATACATTGACAAATCTTCAAACTCGAAATCTTCAAAAACGAAAAGAAATTATTTTTTCTTTTCCACTTGACTTTTCAGATATATTTCATCTTCTATCTGGCTGTATTATGATTGAAATTCGATACATTTCATGAAAATGATCGTAAAATTAGAGACCTCGAAAAGTTCTTTTTTCCTTCGCCGAAATTGTTTCGAAACCATTGGAACTGCAGCTATGGCTCATAAGTATCGAATAACAATTAATTGCACACTCGTCAGCACGTTCTCCACGGCGAAAAACATACAATAATAACAAGTAATTTCGGTTACGAGTTTAGATACAGCCACGTTCGTGGGAATGCTACGTGAT